AAATGAATACCTAGGGTTTTTTTTTTTAATGTAGAACTACATTTTCATATAAAAAAGTCCTCTAAAGGAGGAAAGATGTTGCAAACTGTAGTTTTAGATTGTGTGAGTGTTCAGTTCCTCTCCCTAGTCTGTACCCAAAGGGAAAAAGAAGTCTTGTAGCTATTTTCAGGCTTATGTATGTATTTTTTGAAGTTGGTAGCATTATTGTTGATAGAAAAAATTTCCTTCTTAATCGAATATCTACTTCTTTTACATACTTTGACCTGAGTGAAGGGTTTCGTTCATGGGTGGCTAGGAATATTTCTCTATCATGAAAAACATGAACTTGAAGAGTGAGTAGTAAGGTTTTTCAAATACCTGAATGCTTAAGCATTAGAAACAGCAGATTGGATCACTTTCAGTAGGTGATTTGGAATCTCAGATGCAACTGATTTCTTTCTACTTTTTGACTAGTAGGTCTGGCTTTCTGCACCCATATGCCAGGGGGTAAAAATGTTATCAGCTGGAGTATATTCTTACTCCCTGTGTTCTAGGAATTAGGGTGTCAGTTTCCAGAAGGAAGAGGGTAAAGTGTTTCGGGGACTATTTCCCTTTTCATTCTGTTGGTTGGCAGCGTCACATTTCTGCATCTAGAAAGGCCTTTGTGTTTGAAACCAACATGAACATTTTATAAAGTTCATTTAGGAAAATAAAAGCTAGAGATGTAAAGCAACGCCTGTTATTAAATTACATGTTATCACTGGGCTCGAAAGCCACCCTCTATAATTACTTGTGACAGTCTGTATTTATAGAATAATGGACAGTGCGTCTAGTTTAGGTCTAACAGTACAACTGATGGTGGATCGTGCCACAAAATTGCGTGGGCTCCACACTCTGCCCTTCAGGAATTAAGGTGGTGACGCAGGATTCTTGGCACAAGGTGAGAGGTTAGTCTTCCCTTGTCCGGGTTTGCAAGCCCAACAGCCCGGGCTGTGAAGAGGGATTCTGCTCACCGGACAGTCTGGGGCAAGACTTCCTGGGCTGCTCAGGTGCACAAAAGCCTTGGCTGTGCCCTACTCCTTGGTTCCTTCAAGGTCTGTCCGCCCTTGGAACACAGGATGAGCAGTACTGAGCCCAGTTGCTTGGAATGCCCTGAATTTGTAGATTTGATTCCTGGGACACCCGCTTAACCTCTTTACCATGTGGCCACAGCCTGGACACCAAGCTGGAGAGGCCGATCACCCCGAAACCTGAGAAGAGAGTGTGGATGAGTCAGCACCATCCACCACCACCACTCCCTGAGAAGTAACCAGAAACACGTGCTGCTCGGGGCATGCCACCGAAGCAGGGGCCACGGGGGACGCCAGAAAATCAGACAGGCAGTGGTGTTTGCAGTGGGGGGGTTCCCAGCTGGTGAACAAGGCTGGCCCCCATATAAGATTCTGCTGTGCCCTCGTCTGCAGAACAGACACATAGGTACCAAGGTGGAATTTTTATTGTCAGATTTAGGGTCCTGTCATCCAGGATCCAGTGGATTGGGATAGTATATCCTTTGCTGTCTTGAAAAAATAATAATAATACATTTTCATAATGGGGGATGTGTCAGATTTGCCAGAACATCATTCTCTGGCTAAACCTCTGCTCTTTGAATCACTTTCTTCTGGAGTGTTCTGTGGACGAGTGAATTTGGTGATAGACCTCAACACATTTTCCACAAATGTTTTCAGTGTTTGCAGCTCATCCAGGGTGGGAAAAATTATTATTATTATTTTTTTAATCTAATTTTTTTTTTAAAGTAAACTCTACCCTTAATGTGGGGCTTGAACTCACTACCTGGAGATCAAGTGTCACATGCTCCATGGACTGAGCCAGCCAGACACCCTGAGAAGAATTATCTTTTAAAATAGGAAGCCATCTTTAGGCTCACTCATTTAAAAAACAGCTACGTTTTGAGCTTCCTAGCTGTACCTTTTACTTCCTAGAAGAACCAATTGTTTCTCTTTCCAAAAAAAAAAAAAAAATCTCACCATCTCTTACACTGCTTTGATGCTGTGTGTCATATTTCTTTCTATCTCTCTTTTTTTAAATTGTGGTAAAATACACATACTATAAAATTTACTATTTTAACCATTTTTAGGGGTACAATGTAGTGGCATTAAGTATCTTCACAATGTTGTACCACCACCACTATTGTCCATTTCCAGAGCTTTTTCATCATCTGAAAGCCCTATACCTCTGACTCACTAAGTCTCAGTCCCTCCCCCCCCCCCCCCCGCCCCCCCAGCCCCTAACGATCATTCCACTTTCTGTCTGTGAATTTGTCTATTCTATTCTGCACTCATCTAAGTGCAATCATAGAATATTTGTCCTTTTGTGGCTGACGTATTTCACTTAGCATATTTTCAGGGTTCGTCCCCATCATAGCATGTGTCAGAATTTCATTCCATTTTGAGATTAATATTCCATTGTATGTATGTACATTTTCTTTATCCATGGACACCTGAGTTGCTCCCACCTTTAGGCTGTTGGAGATGATGCTCCTATGAACCTTTGTGTACAGTATGTATCCTGTTGGATAGGAAGCAAGTTCTTTCTGGCTGTGTTTGCTTTTCTCCGTGCACATGCATCTTATCTGCCCAACGAGATAATAAATCCCACAAGTTTAGGACCACTCTTAAACTTCCTGGTATTTTTCACCTCCTTTTTTTCTGTTTCCTTCAATATCTTGTATATTACAGGGATACAAATACTTGATACTGATAAGAATAGGTAAGGAAAGCTGAAGTTAAATCTAAAAACCCTGTTTAGAGGTACACAGTATTTAAAGCATAATTTCATTTTATATTTACCTGGGGCGTGTCTTTGGCTCGTTTCTCCAAGCTCCACTGAGCAGGGGCAGAAGTCCAATTGTGTATTGAGGTCAGTGCTGGGTGAACGCACCGTCCCTGTCCACTCATTTTCAAGTGTGTAATAACAGAGTAACTGCCAAGAGGTACGCATGGAGTCGTGAGTCAGGAAAATGTAGATAGATCTAGCTGATTAGAGTGTGGATCTGTAGAAGCTTTTTTGTTGTTCTTCTTCTCTTTTGGCTTAAGAACAAATACCAGGTTCACTCAGGAGATGACCTCTGGGTCCCTCGTTCTGGGGAGTTGCAGGAGGGAAGATGTCAAATGTCTCTTACAGAAATAGGTCTTCTGCACGTCTCAGAGGTGTTATAGAAAGCCAAGTTGGCTTAATATTGCGGGCTGCAGATGATCCCCACATAGAAACCTTGCAGTAGTTTACTTAAAATGCACATTTGGGATAAGTGTGAATTTGTATCAGACTTACGACTGCCAGTTGCACCGATAAAGAGTTTAAGCCTATTTTCAAATGCATTTATCTTTGCTTGGCACGTACGTGTTGCTTTGTGAAGAATCAACGTTTTGTTTTTCCATTATATTGAAGATAAATCCCACATTAGAAGAATGTTCCTAAATGGGCCTTTGTTTAAGGCTTTTAAAGTAAACAACAACAAATTGGAGGAGGAAGATTTTTGAAGGTGCTGTGATGAAATTTCACCAGCTGGCTTTCTAAATATCATCAGGTGTGCCCCCAGAGAAGGCGACAATGAAGCTATTCAGGCTGGGCAGCAGAAAACACAGGCCGACCAACTGTTTACACCCTGACAACTGGGTCAGTAATAATTTCCATGTTTAGATCAGTTACATTGGCTTTGAGGAGAGACAGCCAGTCAGTGTTTTCAAAAGGATAAAAACCTACCTGCATATAGCATGTTAATAAAGAATATGTTCTTTTATTATAAAGGTCTGTTGCTATTTCCCACTGCAAGGAAATCCAGTCTACTCCCTTCTGCGTGCTTAGCGCTGTAATACTAGCCCTTTGGGGGCTAATGTCTTAGGTCAAAATGTTAAATTTGTAGCTGCTTTAGTTCACAGCAAATCTCTGCTTTATTTTGGGAAACTTTTTCTTTCCTTTTGGTATAATTCAAGAGGGTATCTTTAAATCCTTTCCATGAACCTTACTAATAAAACAGTTCATGAAACAGTTTCACCTCTTTACACCCATGGTCCTGGAGTTATGGGCACCTTGTTTCATGGACGGGTCATGCCCCATGCAGTTTGACACATCTCTCCAGCCATTTCCTTCCTGTCCTGCGACCTGCCCCACCATCCAGAATTCACAGCTGGTTTTACTTGCCCCTCTAGTGCAAGTTGCAGGCGACCGAGTGGAGTCTGTCGGTCCCTGGAGTGGCCTTGTAAGAAAGATATCGATGCAGAGAGGCTTCTTTCTGGTAATTCTATTGATTATTGTACATGATAACCCGAGGAAACATAGGACTAGTTCACAAGACATATGTAACACAAAATCTGCCTATGGGAAGTGGATTTAAAATATGAAAGTCCCCTTCTATGGATATATGGGTCGTGAGCCAGCTGATGATGTCCCTAGGTGACACCAGCCACCTCATTTGCAGAAAAGGAGCCAGAAGACAAACCCAAGCTCATTTTCCCGTTCTTCCCTGGGCTGCGTTTGTTCCTAGACCTACAGAGGGTCCCTATTTAGATCGTCACTGCTATGACAGCTACATCGTTTATGGTTATAGGTATCATATCCCTCTTCTGTGTTCAAGGCAAGCTTCTCTGCGCACATCAGCCTGAGAAATCACTCCAGTTTCTAGATTTTTGTTTAGTCTTTTTTTTTTTCCCCCACATTCGCCAATGAGGTGGTTTGGATTCTTCTTAAAAGGCTTTCCGGGGGAGGGGGGGGGCGGCGCCTGGCGGGCTCAGTCCTAGAGCGTGAGACCCTTGATCTCAGGGTCATGAGTTCAAGGCTCACATTGGGTGTAGCGATGACTTAAGAAAGAGAGAAAGAAAGATAAAGAAAGGCGTCCAGTGTGTTGGCACCCACCCAGTCGCATTCCCCCTTCCACGTCGCCTGTGTGGGGCTCTCTCCCGAGCACATCTGTTCCTCTTTATGCACACCAGGAAAGGATTAACCCAGCTGTCTCTGCTTTTCAGATTTGACGGAAGAACGGCTGGGGGACAGCGGCTCAGCCGACAACACGGAGACCTTCAGCGACAAAGACGCCGACCAGAGGAGCTCCCCGGATGTGGCCAAAAGTAAGGGCTGCTTCACCCCCGAGAGCCCCGAGATCGTGTCGGTGGACGAAGGGGGCTACGCGGTCCAGAAAAACGGAGGCAACCCGGAGAGCCGCCCCGACAGCCCCAAGTACCACGCGGAGCAGAACCACCTGCTGATCGAGGGCCCCTCGGGGACGGTGTCCCTGCCCTTCAGCTTGAAAGCCAACAGGCCGCCCCTGGAAGTGTTGAAGAAGATATTCCCCAACCAGAAGCCCACGGTGCTGGAGCTCATCCTGAAGGGCTGCGGCGGGGACCTGGTGAGCGCCGTGGAAGTCCTGCTGTCTAGCCGCTCCTCGGGGTGCGCGGCGGCCGACCGAACTGCGGCCGAGCCCGAGGGGCTGGTGCTGCCCCCCAACGGGCACATCTTTGAACACAGCCTGAGCACCTACCCCCTCTCCTCCTCCAAGTGGTCCGTGGGCTCGGCCTTCAGGGTCCCGGACACGCTGAGGTTTTCCGCCGACTCTAGTAACGTTGTCCCCAACCCCCTGGCCGTGCCCCTGCAGCATCCCTTCCCGCAGCCGCCCCGGTACCCGCTGATGCTGAGGAATACTTTGGCGAGGAACCAGTCGAGCCCCTTTTTGCCCAACGACGTCACCCTGTGGAACACCATGACCCTGCAGCAGCAGTACCAGCTGAGGTCCCAGTACGTGGGCCCCTTCCCCACTAACTCGGCCGGCGTCTTCCGAAGCTCGCCTGTCCTCCCCGCGCGCGCCCCCGAGGACCCCCGCCTCTCCATCCCCGACGACGGCTGTCCCATGGTGGCGAAGCAGTCCATTTACACCGAGGAGGACTATGACGAGAGGTCCGACTCCTCAGACTCTAGAATACTCAACACATCCTCTTAAAGTTGCTCCCCGCTGGGTGGTGTGACCACGTGACGTTTTCTGTGCATTTGAAACCCCGGGGGCACCCCCCCTCCCCGCGAGGAGAGGCCACATCCTGTGTATACCCTTTCCTTCTGTTTGACAAAGTGACTGTGCTTGATTCTATACCTTAGCAATAAAAAAAATAACTTATTTAATTTCTTGCACTTCATTGGAAAATGCCAAATAGCTCTGCTCTGTGGCTTTAGTGCTGAATGTTTGTTGTGAAAGAGAGTCTAATGCTAAGAATAGTCTTGGGAAAGCCGGGTCTGCCGCAAGATTTATTTGGGGATGGAAAGCTGAGGGTCAGCTTTGCTCCCAAACTCAACCCGGAATATCCGAGAAAATAGTATGCTTGAATGTGGTTTCCCAAAAGAGGGTTCCTCAGGATATGTAAAAGCTAAAGCAAGTGGTTCGGTTGCAAATGGACTATAAACAGGGACCTTATATTCTTATGCTAAAAATCCTTCTTGCATTTTAGAGAGAGACTGCACTTAGGAATAGAGTGAACCGCTCACATGCTTATTTAAGCTTGGACAGTTTTCAGAGACAAACTCCATTAAGAATTCTTCTTCTCACAGGGCTGAATTGAAACATGCGTGATGTCAATGTAAATCCAATCACAGCTGTGAACTGCATGAAATGTATTGTGAAATGAACACAAGATTAAGCTTTGTCAGGTTAATGTAGCATGCTGAGGACTCTAGAAAAAAAATAAACTAAGGAGACCATCTTCGTTTATGTCATTTCTACTTGTGGACAGAGGATCTCTAAAGAGAGAAGCTTGATGTGAGAGCTACTTCCTAGCGCACGGATGAGGAATCAAGGGATCAGTGGGACATTCCTTGAGAAAAATGAATGGCAAAGTTTGGGGGCTGCATTCAGAAAGACTGGGAATTTTTGTTTAAGAATAGAGCTCAGTTCAGTCCCTCCACTCATTCATTTAATTCTTCAGCAGATATGTAGTGAGGGCCTATGTGTAAGAGAATGTGTAAGAGAATGCTTTTTGTCTATTATCCAAGTCACCTGTCCACGAGTCCAAGATAAGTGGGGATGATAACGGAGAGTCCCATTAAAGAATAAAGTAAAAACGAAACAATTTACAACGTGAGGAGTAAGTAAAGCACTTAGCACTGTACCTGACATAGAGAAAGCCCTTGATAAATGAGAGCTATGATTACTTTTAATTAAGCTCACCTTTTGCATTCTTGCTCAGGTATTTTAAAAAGAGTTTTCAAATAATAATACTCAGTGGTGCCCACAGTAACCACTTCTCTTGCTGTGTCCATTCTTCAAAGTGCTTGAAAGCAAAGAGGACTGCTTAAGTCAGACAATAAACTTACAAAGTGAGAGGGAAAGTAAGAAAGCAAATAAATAAAGGCCTCTGCATGACGAGGATGCAGAAAGAGCTCCCAATTTGAGAATAAGTCTGGAAGGGCTCTTGAGTCTGGAAGGGAGAAGGGCAAATCCTCTTGGCCTGAGATACTCCCTCAGCTGAGGGACAGGAGCTCCTATCAGCTGCCAACCACTCTTGGGATGCGTCCCAGGGGGATAAAAAAAAAAGCTACTTAAAACAAAAATCTCATCTTTATTTCTATAGGACACTTTGGGAATGAGAATCTTTGGGAAAAAATTCATATTATTTGGACTAATATGTATTTCATGCACATAGGTACCTACCAGGGAGTTTAAAAGTAAATACTATTGTTGTTAGGATTGTATTTTGACATTAGCATATATGTCAGGGAAGAAAGCGAGGGAGGGTAGAAGAAAATAATTGGAACCTTGTTTCTAAAGACCCATGTCTGGGATATTTTATGTGGTGGTGATGGGCTAATGTCTGGGCCTACCTAGGACAAGTGTATTTCCCAAGGTATGTTCGTCTCAGAAGCTTATCCGCAATCATTTAACAAGCACCAGTGGTAACAGATCCCCTGTGAGCCCGGGGTGCTATGAAATCTGTCTTCAGCTGTTACTACTTCAGGCTGAACTACCCGGATTGAGCAACACTCGCCCTAAGATGCAGTGTCTTTACAGCATGATTCCCACCCCCCACCCCCGCCCACAGATCACCAAACTCACAGACTCCTTGTGACAACGGCCAGCAACATGGACTTATCTGTAAGGCAGCGAACTCCTAGGCTAGTACGGGTATGTTTGATCCTCAATGTAATCTTCTGAAGCAGGATATATTTATTTTAAGGCGGGGGCGGGGGGTAAGTGTGGTCCGGGGTCAGATGGGAGAAATTGGTTCAGATCCTATGTCCTTTGTCCAGCAGTCAGTTTTGCTTCCTCTGCTGTCCTATGGCCTGAGCCCTCTCCTAGATCTGAGCTCAGCTCTCAAAGACCATCCTGCTCTGACGTGTAGCCCACGGGCGCTCAGTTACTCACATAAAAGAGAAGAAATCAGCCAACTCCTTCTGGCTAAATCTCGTCTGTCACACAGACAAGTAACAGGGTGCTTGGCGGGTCACTTGCAGCCGGGGCAAGCCAGCCTTATGGAAAGTTAATCCACGTGAAACCGGGTCGCCTCTCTCCCCTTCTAGTGAGGACCTGCCAATTGCTCATCTTAAATGCTTTGTTCATCTACGATGTGAGTGGGGGCGGGTTGGTCATGTTCTACAGCGGTTTGTCTCCAAGTGTGATCCACGCACCCCAATGCTTCCCTTACTAGTTTGGATTCCTGGGCCCTGCTTGCTGAGTTCAGAATCTCCGAGAGCCTCAACGTCTCCATTTTTATCGTCCTCGGCAGGTGACTCTTAAACTCACTAAGATTGGAGAACATCACATCCTTGGGTTTTCCTCTTAGACCTACGCCCAGTAAAGGAGCTGAGGGAGAGGTTTAAATGCCTACGTCCTCCACTCCTGCCCTCGACTTAGTTCACGTAACTTTAGAGGCAATGTTAACGTTTGAATCGAGTACACATTTGAGATCAGAAGTGCCTGTTTTTGGAAACCTTTGATTGGCAGAGCACCTGATCTTAGCATAAATGTGCCCCCCTTACCCTCAAGGGGAGTGCCACTTAATGCTCCCGAGATTTTCCAGTGCTGCTGACCCTTAAGGTGTGCGTGATTCCAAGTTTACTAGTGACACCTGGAAGCAGGTTTTGCTTTGGGGCTGGAGCTTTGAGGTTTAAGACACATCAGTAATTCCCTTCCCCCCTCCTAATTTTACTGAAATATAATCGACATAGAACATTGTGTGAGTTTAAGATGTATGAGGTGACAATTTGATAGGTGTATATATTACAAAATGATTTGCGCTGTAAGGTTAGTTAACACATCCATCACCTCACATAATTACGTGTGTGTGTGTGTGTGTGTGTGTGTGGTGAGAACATTTACCATCTGTTCTCTTAGTAACTTTCAAGCATACAGTGTAGAACTGTTAGAAAGCCACCAGGCAGGACATTGGATAGCCAGAACATCTTACGACTGTAAGTTTGTGTCCTTTGACCCACATCTCCCCATTTCTCCCCACTCCCCCACCAATCCCCTGGCAAGCGTGATTCCACTCTGTTTCTGTGCATTTGGCTTTTTTAGATTCCATGTAGAAGCGAGATCACACAGTACTTGTCTTTTTGTGACTGGCTTATTTATTTCACTTAGTATGTGACATTTGCTTTATCTCTTGGTCTGTTGATGGACACTTAGGTTGTTTCCGTGTCTTGGCTATTGTGAATAATGCTCCAGCGAACATAGGGTGGGGATACCTCTTTGAGATACTGATTTCATTTTCTTCAGAAATATACCGATAAGTGGCATTGCTGGATTATAGAGTATTTCTGTTTCTAGTTTTTTGAGGAGCTTCCATACTGTTTTCCATAGAGGCTGCATCAGTTTACATTCTCACCAATATTGCCCAAGGGCTCTCTTTTTTAAAAATGTAGTTTTGTTTTTTCAAAAGATCTTATTTATTTGAGAGTGAGCGCAAGCCCAAGCAGTGGGAGTGGCAGGCAGGGGGAGAGGGAGAAGCAGACTCCCCGCTGAGCAGGAAGCCCGATGTTGGGGGCTCGATCCCAGGACCCTGGGATCATGACCTGAGCCGAAGGCAGACACTTAGCAACTGAGCCACCCAGGTGCCCCTCAAGGGCTCCCTCTTCTCCTCATTCTTGCCAGCACTTAGTTTCTCTTCTCTTTTTCATAATAGCCCTTCTAACAGGTGTGAGGTGATGTCTTCCTGTGAAATATCAATGCTCTTGATGATGGGAAAAGCAAAAGTAGTTGCACAGATGTTTTGAGAAGCAAGGCATTTCTTAGCCAGGTACATGGCTGTGGTTGAAGTTCATAGCAGAGCGACTGGAGAGGTGACAGGGACCAGGAAGAAGGGGCAGGGATTCTGAGCCCCTGGTCCAGGCTGTGGCCATTAGCTAGCAGGCTTCTAAGAGCCTAAGAACATTTAAAATTTACAGAAAGAAACTGGACCAGAGGAGGAGTTATGCAGTGGGGGCAGTCATGTATCATGGGGTCTGCTCTTTAAGGGACTCATCGTCCAAGGTCCCCAAGTTGCCCTGTGGCTAGGTTGATGGGAGGCGACAGGAAGGGGGGCCTCCTGGGAACATTTGTTGGGTGCCCAGAAAACAGGCGCTGATTGCCTTTGATCTGACATATTTGAAAAATGGACTTGATTTCAGGGCATACTGTTTCAGTCATTCATTCTTTATATGCGCATTTACTCAGCAGTGAGTTGAAAATAAGATGGATGTTAAATTTATATGTTAATTTTAGTATTGAAGCTACCCTATACTTGAAGAATAAGATCAATGCTTCATTTTCATTTCTTATGTGGTACTGAACGTTGTCATTACTGGGGAAAAAAAAATCATTTCTGAGTGCATCCTCCCAAATTCCAATCTCAGAGGGCAGAGGAGGCTTGGAAGGGGCGATCTCGCCTCTTGCTGATGGTCTGTTCAGTGAGGCGCTTTTAGTGTTCCCACAGTATCATTTACTGTTTCAGTGTGAAGGGTCAATAAAAAGGGTCATGGTGTTCCTCAAATTACAATGGAGTTTATTTACCGATCGGATTCTGAGGGTCGGCGGGGGTGTTAGGCTGTGTCAAGAGTTTCATATATCCCACGGGCAAAGCCACTGGACTTAACCAGAAGTAAATTTAGTAGTTGCAGAAAAATTATACTCCGGAAGACTTGAGTCGTTGCTT